GGCTGTTGGTTTTTCATAGATAGCCTTTATTAAATTGAGATATAGACCATCTATTCCAATTTTTTGCAGGGTTTTTATCATGAATGGGTGTTGAATTTTGTGAAATGCTTTTTCTGCATCTATCAAGAGGATCATATGATTTTTGTCCTTGACTCTTAATTTAGTGTATTACATTTATTGACTTACGTATGTTGAGCCATCCTTGCATCCCTTGAAGAAATCTGACTTGGTCAGGATGTTTGATCTTCTTGATGATCCTCTGTATTCTGTTTGCTAGCATCTTATTAAGGATTTTTGCATCTATATTCATTAAGGAGATTGGCCTGTAGTTCTCTTTTTTAGTTGCATCTTTTCCTGGTTTGAGAATCAAAGTGATACTTGCTTCCAGGAAAGAGTTTGGAAGTATTGCTTCCCTTTCAATTTCATTGAAAAGTTTGAAGAGTAATGGCAGTAGTTCTTTTCTAAATGTGTTGTAAAATTCAGCTGTGAATCCATCAGGACCTGGACTTTTCTTTGTTGGTAAAGTTTTAATTACATTTTCAATTTCATTGATTGTAATTGGGGTGTTTAAAATGTTTTTATCTTCTTTGTTCAACTTTGGTAATTCATAAGTATCTAGAAATCTGTCCATTTCTTCTCTTTTACATTTTGTTAGAGTACAGGTTCTCAAAGTAGGTATTGATTATCCTCTGGATTTCTTTTGGATCTCTTGTGACTTCACCTTTTTCATTCCTAATTAAATGGATCTGAGCCTTTTCTTTCCTTTTTTTGATGAGGTTAGCTAAGGGTTTATCAATTTTATTTATTCTTTCAAAAAACCAACTCTTCGATTCATTTATTTTTTGTATTGATTTCTTAGTTTCCATTGCATTGATTTCTGATCTTATCTTTATAATTTCCTCTCTTGTTCGAGCCTTGGGTTTTTCTTGCTCTTGTTTTTCTAGGAGTCTAAGATTCATCATTAGGTTGTTTATTTGAGCTAGCTCTGTTTTCCTAGTGTGGGCATTCTGTGCTATGAATTTTCCACGTAGAATTGCTTTCATTATGTCCCATAGATTTCTGTATGTTGTATTGGCATTTCCATTTATTTGTAAAAACTGTCTGATTTCCTTAATTTCCTCTGTGATCCATTGATTGTACAGGAGAGTGTTGTTCACTTTCCATGTGTTTGTGAAATTCCTATGGTTTCTTGTGCTATTGATCTCCAGCTTGATTGCACTATGATCTGATATTATACAAGGAATAACTTCAGTTCTTTTGCATTTATTCAGACCTGTTCTGTGAGCTAGTATGTGATCTATCTTGGAGAATGACCCATGTGCAGCCGAAAAGAATGTATATTCTGATTTTGTGTGCTGGAACACTCTATAAACATCTATTAAGTCCATGCTTTCAAAATCTTGGTTCAATTCTAGTATTTCGTTGTTGACTTTTGGCCTAGATGATCTGTCTGTTTGTGAAAGTGTGGTATTTAGATCCCTTAATACAATTGTATTAATGCTTATTTGGTTTTTCATGTTTCTTAATATTTCTTTTATATAGTTGGGGGCATTAGTATTTGGTGCATATATGTTTATGATTGTCATCTCTTCCTCTTGAATTGTTCCCTTTACAAGGATGCAGTGGCCTTCTTTGTCTCTTTTAATCAGTTTTGGTTTGAAATTTACTTTGTCTGCGAATAAGATTGCTACTCTTTTTTCTGGGCACCTGTCGCATCGAGAATTGTTTTCCATCCTTTCACTTTCAGTTTATGGGCTTCTTTTTGCACTAGTTGTGTTTCTTGTATACAACCTATTGTTGGATTTTGCTTCTTAATCCATTCTGCCAGTCTGTTTCTCTTGATAGGTGAGTTGAGGTCATTGACATTGCTGGTTATAACTAATATGTACAAATTTATTATTGTCATGTTATTGTCCTTTTGTTGACTCTTTTTACATTTGCACCTTCTCCTTTTAGTTTCTTGCCTTGCCTATTTGATTTGCTCTGTTGGGCCTCATGGTGTTGTTACCTTCATTGTCTTTTTCTAGGATATTGTTTAGAATTGCTTGCAGGGCTGGTTTGGTATTCATGTAGTTGCTCAGGTGTTCTTTGTCGTGTCAGTATCTTATTTCCCCATCCATTTTGAAAGAGAGTTTTGCAGGATCTATCAGTCTAGGTTGGAGGTTGTTCTCTTTTAGTACTTGAAATATCTCACTCCAGGCTCTCCTTGCCCTAAGGGTTTGTGTTGAAAAGTCTGCTGTGATTCTGATGGGCTTTCCTTTGCATGTGATTTGTTTCTTTTCTCTTACTGCTTGTAGTATTTTGTTCTTCTGTTGGGTTTCTGGGATCTTGATTATTATATGTCTAGGTGTAGATTTTTTTTGATTGTGGCTAGTTGGGGTCCTATATGCCTCAGTTATCTGAATGTCAAATTCTTCCCCTCTGTTTGGGAAGTTTTCTGTCATTAATTCTGTGAAAAACTTTTTAAAGTCATTTGTATTTTCTCCTGCTACTTCATGGATTCCTGTTAGTCTTATGTTATTCTTCTTTGCATCATCTAGGAGTTGTTGGATCTATTTCTTATGATCCCATACTGTTTTTAAGAAACCTCTCTTTTCACGGTCACTGACTGCAATCTTATCTTCTATATCTGAGAGTCTATCTTTGCATTCTTTTATTCTGTTGCATACACTTTCAATGGAGTGTTTAATCTCCTGGATATCTGTTTGAATGTGTTTTATGGATTCCATTTCTTTCCTATGTTGGGCATTTATTGTTTCCATTTCTTTCTTATGCTGGGCCTTCATCGCTTCTATCATGGTCCTGAGATCATCTATTTTTTTTGTGAGTTTCTGTTCTAGAGTCTCGAATCATGACTTTGATTTTGCTCACCATCTCTATGGTTATCTGGGAAATTATTTCTGTTTTGAATTTTTCTACAGCCTGATTGATCTATTTTGTTACTTCCTGTGCCTTGAGTTCAGGGTGTCCTGGTGGTTCACTATCGGCCTTTTAATCCTCATTTGCCCTACTGTTTGCCATTGGTGAATTGGAAGTCTGTCTCTGTGTCTTACTTAAGTGTTTTCTCATTTTTATTTTTGTTGTCGGACTGTCCTTGGTTTAATCTCTGGGTTATCACCCACATCTTCCTGATATAGTTGTGCCCTAGCTTCTGAGTCTCTAATGACCCACAGACATTCTCATCTTCATAACGTCAGAGAAAACAGCTCATCCAATCAACCACAATCCTTTATCCCCACTGATACAATCAGCAACACAATATGATCAAGCACAACTTGCAAAATGACCACTTGTGGTAGTCACTAGTCTATCACCCTTAAACCATGTAAATTAAATTGAAATCAAGAAGCAGTCCAAAACAAGAAGCAGTGAACAAACTTTTCAACATAGTGTATTTACCATTTAGGATGGGGCATCAGGCAGAGCTAGTACGAGAGGAGTAGATAAGTGAAAGAGTTGGAGAAGGTTTCAGGTGAAGCCAGAGGACATAGAATGACCACACAGTGTTCAGGAAACTGTTAAATTCGAAAGGGATAGACAGAGTAGAAGTGTGAGGACAAGAATATATCCCTTTAACAGTAATAGGGGCTCACTTTCCCTTGAAACCACTGACCCCTGTGTGAGGTAAAATGACAGAAGAAAAGAACATAAAGAAAAGAGAAAAAATGATAAAAGAAGAAATCTGAGTTAGGGCAGGAGCAGAGACAGAAAGGGAGATGAGGGATAATATGGTGGAGCAATGGTGGAGCAAGACTGAGTTGGGGAAAGAGGACAGAAAAAAGAAAGAATTTACAGAGTAGAATGAGGAAAAGAAAGAAACAAAAGGATTTGAAGGGCCTCTTTCAGACTATATCTCTGCTGTCATAATATACAACATGCGCAGCAAGAATTTACAGAGTAGAATGAGGAAAAGAAAGAAAAAAAAGGATTTGAAGGGCCTCTTTCAGACTATATCTCTGCTGTCATAATATACAACATGCGCAGCCATGTGCAGAACCAAGACCCCTGATCTCAGCTAGCTGATGGCAGAACCCCACGATGCAGACTGACCTTGGGCTGCAAGGCCAGATTGAGTTCCCTGACCTCCTGAATGGTTGAACTCCACAGCGTTCTACTACAGGTTTCCCATGCCCTTTCTTTAAAGATGTTCAAAGTTGGGAGCTCAGAAAAATACCCTTTATGACCACCTCTGCCTCTGCAGCGTGGGTCCAAAGACTGGCACAGTCAGGAGGTCTGAGAGTGTTGTGTGTGGGTGTTGGTGGAGTTGGGCATCTTCCTGGCGCTGGAGTGATGGCTGCGGCAGCCTGGCAGGAGAGGGTGTGGCTATCCTTCCCATTGTCTGGGCCTAAGCAGGCCCTCCTGGCCCTGTAGCGATGGCCCAGTTTGTCCTTCGTGATGGCAGGGTGGTACCGCCTGGTGTGTAGATGTCGCACTTCCTTTATGCAGGGCACTGTGGCATTCTTACCAAAGTGTCACTGTTGCTGATGAGAGTCATCCTGTGAGTTTCTCAGGAGCCTGCCCTTGTCCTGGCAGAGAAAACACAGGCTTTGGCGTCGAGAGTGTCCAGTATCCACATTTTCTCTCCACTGTGTGGGTGATCTTGTGGTTGGTTCATTGCCCTTCTCTAACTTCTCTTTCCTGTCATGATAAATAAGAACTGTCCAGACAACCTCCTATAAGGCCTCCTGTTTTCCACCTTCTCTTGTCTTGTGGGCCTGAATGTGCACTGTTAGAAAGTAAGAGGTCGAAGTATGCAGATGTGTACATAAACAAACTAAAGCATAGGCAGTGCTTGAGTTTATGAATATTTGAAGATATAGTTCTCTTGGTTCCTCTGGCAGCGCCTGGCTTCTGACTAATTGTTTAACTTCTAACTAGGAGTTAGTTGTAGATATTTATAGTGAATGGATGTTTGTTGAATGTATTTTTACACCTGCAGCCAGATGTTAGCCGTGTGATTTTCATTTTACCCAGCTAACCTGGCTTTGCTTTTCTTGTAGACAAACTCTCCCTGGAACAGCACAACCTTTCTTTATCCTCCGTGGAGCTCCTGCCGGAGACGAGCATGATACTCAGTGTTGCACATGTGGCCTTAACAGAGACTGCTCCAGGGTCCTCGTCCAGCAGGTCTCTCCTTATCATATCCTCTCCATCTGCCACTACTTTTGATACGACTTTTTTAAACCATGGGAAACAGACCCAGAGTACAGTGGATCGTAGCATCTTTGTGGCTAATTACGGGTCAGTGACAAGTAACGAGGTGGCTGTCGGTGAGGATGACATGGATAACTTTTTGCCGGATGCCCACTGGACCTCTTCACGGATGGTTTCCCCCCTGCCCTATGTCACAGCCAGCCCACCAGGGCTGCCCGGAGAAATCCTTGAGTCTGTGCTTACTCCGTCGCTACCCACCATTTCTTTACAGCACGAAGAGGTGACATCGGCCTGGCAGAACACAGTGCAACAACCATCGACATATGTCCAGTCCCCCGGTCATTTTGGCACTTTGTGGTCAGCTCTTCCCACCTCTGAGGGCATAATTTCAACTCCTAGTAGGAATTTGGTGCTTTATCCTACAGAAACTTGCAGCCAGTCATCAAGTAGGACCCCGCTAGAGATTGTGGCTTCGGTAACAGCGGGCCCAGAATCCCTCGTTCTCAGCTCCCGGTCTCCAGTGTCTCTGCTGTTAGGCGGTGCCCTGACTCAACAGCCATCTGTCCCCTCGGCTGAGGCCTCCAAGCCTCCAGACAAAGTCCTGGCCACAAGCACAGAGAGAGACCCAGATACAAGCATTACTTCGAATCAACACCTAGAAGAAGCCATCTCTCTAGGAGCATCTCCCACTGTCACTGTGTCAAATGAAGCCCTTGCTTTCGGCAGCACACGTTCTACTTTTTCAACTCCTCTTGCTTCTGCCTCCTTTTCTGCTCAGTCAGCTGATGTTTCCTATCACTCCTTCCTTCCTAGCAAAGCCAGTGAAGCATCAGAATTGCCTCACCGCTCCCTGGTCCCCGGTCGTATGGATGACACCCACGTCCAGAGCCCGATGTTCCCCCCCAGACCGTACACCTGGTGTGCATCCTGTATCCTGGCCTCACCTCGGCCTGTTCTGGCCACAAGTGTTGTGGAGGGAGACGTGGGGTCAGGGGATGGGGCTGAGACCCTGTCGGTGGCCACACTGCAAGTGAACAGCCTCTCTCCATGGAGCAGCGTGGTCAAGGACTTCTCTGATTTTGAGGAAGATCCTCAAGAATTTAATACACTTTTCCCTCCCAGGCCTGTCATTTCCCTTTCTTCCAGACTTGTGGGGATCTCAGCAGCAAGTAGCAGTCTGTCAGCTGAGGTGGACGTGAGCAGCATTATCAACACCCAGGGGTCTCCTTCCCATGGCCACCTGACTGTACCAGTGTTGCCTGATTCTGCTTTTGTCTTTTCTTCTGTGGCTGCTGAAATAGTGCCATCCAGGGTAACTGCAGAGTTCTCTTCAGTCATCATCACTGTCTCCCTCGATTCTTCTTCCTCTGTCACAGCCAACAACCTCTCATCACTTGCCACCACAGACCAGAATCTCTCCACCTCTTACAGCTGGGTTCCTTCAGTAGCATCTTCACTTCTCTCTACCCAAGAACCTGCCCACATTTTTGAACAAGAAACTCGGAGTCTTTTGGATTTTGCGTCTAGCTTTTACGCAACTCCACCACTGGGATTTAGCAGCCTGGCCCCCTCAACTTCAGAGATTCTTGCTTCTTCCTCTCTGACGCCAAGGGACCTGTCACCCTCCATGTCTCACTCCTTTTCCTCCTTGGTGCAGACGTTCATGTTGTCTGACTCTGTCACCTGGCAGTCACCTCAGCTTTCTGTCACAAATTCCACAGACTTTGAGTTTTCTCAGCTTTTGCCAAGTTCAGACCTTCCTTTAAAAACAGTGACTTTTCTACCTGATCACTCTGAAATGTCACCATTCTCAAGCTTCCCCTCCAATTCTCCCAAGTTTGCCGAAGCCTCCACAGTTTCCTTGTTGGATTTTGAAGCTCATTTTACCTCAGCTTTCACTGAAACTACCTCCGATTTGGGGTTTTCATTCATTCCCCGTGAATCTGCAGTCATCACACTGGTGCCCGCTGCCTCTGAGCCCACCCTGGATGTCCTGACTGCTGGGACTCCTTTCCTGTCACCGTCAGTAGCTTTCTACTCAACATCTGTTTTAACTCAGTCTTCTCTCTCCTTAGCTCTGACACCTTCTGATGATTCTATCGGACCTACAAGTGACCACACCCCCATCTTACCTTCTTCCTCCAGAGTCATTCCGACCAGTACTGCCTCGATCACTGACATGTACCTGTCCTCAGCATCCTCTGTTGTCTTTGAGCTGAGCCCCTCACCTCTGTCCACAGAGCCAGCCATCGTGGGTCCCTCCTTCGCACCCACAGGTTCACCATGGAATACTTCCTCTGAGCTGAGCACCTCCAGCACTGGTGACACCGTGGATGGTGCCCTCAGCAGCCACATTTCAAGTCAGAGTCCCCAGGGGAACAGCACAGCGCCTCCTCTGCCAACCCTCCATCCTGTGAACACCGCCACCCGCGAAGTGACAGTCGGTACTCCAGCCCTGGTCACCACCAAGCCACTGTACTTGTGTGACATTACAGTCCCTGATGCCTATCTGATCACAACTGGTAAGGCTTTGCTTCCGATCATCACCTCTCTGGTGTGGGGAATCCCTTCGGTGCTTCTGGGACAGCCCATCCGAGTTGAACCCAGGAAGGTGATTCCCCCTCCTCGGCGCACCTTCTGGGGGCTCCCAGATGGTTACCTGACCTTTGTTTCTGTAGCTATTAAACAAGGATAACAGAGGCACTGTTTTGTTGGTCATTGTAAAGATTTAAATATATCAATGCATATGAAATATTTAGCCAAGCTGCTGCTGCCTTGGAAGTACCCACACAATCTTATGTATTACTTTGCACTTATAGTAAGAACAAATACAGGATTTGAGGGATCTGTGGAAGTGTTTGACAGGGTCTTTGTTTTTGAAATTCATAACCCATGTGTGCATAAGGATGGGCATGCCTGTTCTCAGGGACTCCTCTGCAGGGTGATGATGTCTGGTTTCTGTGGCCCGTTTGATTGGTCCCCAAGTTTTCCTCCATGAGAAGTGCCTTGAAGGTGCATGGTGTCTTGTGAGCTCACCTCCAGCCCAGCATTGGCAAGGGGCTGTGTGTTAGCTTCGGGGTGGGGGAATGAATGAAGAAAAGATGTCAGGAGATGTAGGAGCAGCGGAGTGGAGTGGATGAGAAGGGAGCGGGGAGGAGGAAGAGCAGGCTTGGTCTTTGTCTCCATGCTGACAGTGGGCTGTGAAGCCTTTGCTCCCCAACCTCACAGGAGCCTTTGTCATTTGTGTTATAAATTCATGTGACTTAGCATGCGTGAGGTGCTTGTGGCGGCTGTGAGGGGGGTAGCAAAGAGTGGGACATGATCTTAGACCTGGCAGGCAGGTGGGGACCATGTTTTCTTGGTAGCTGTGGGGACGGCAAAGTTGCATAAGGGTGCCTGAGAAGGTGATTGGAATCCACGTTAAAGTAGGAGGAAAGCATTGTCATCTAGGTGGAGGGACATTGTCCTCCAAACGGAGGGAACATCAGCATGGCTGGATGTTAGACCAGCTCATGGGAGGGGTAGCTGATTAGGTTAGGAAATGAGCTTGGAACAAAAGGATGAACTTGAGTCTGCTGGGTTAGTCTGTTGGGAGAGGTAGAAGAGTTTCTCGTAGACAGGCTACCTCTCTTCCTGTTTTTAACAACGGTATTACAAAGTAGCTTGTGAGAAGTTACTGAAAGCTTCTGAGAGTCTATGATACTTACAGTTGTAATATTGTGTCTTTTAGAATTTTTCTATTTTAGAAGTATCTCTAAGAATATCATATATCATGCAGTATAAATTTAACTTTTGTTTTTGTAGTATAGGGGTTAAACCTAGGGCCTCATGCATGCTAGGCAAGCACTCTACTACTGAACTACATCTGCAGCCCAAATTTAACTTTTATATGTGATATGCATTGAATGACATTTGGTGCCCCTTAAAATTAGGTATCTGTCTGTCTATCTATCTAATCTATCTATCTATCTATCTATCTATCTATCTATCTATCTATATCTATCTATCTATCTATCTATCTATCATCTATCTATTATCTATCTATCCATCCATCTTTTTGGTGCCAGGGATTGAACACAGGACCTTGGGGCACCACTGAGCTAAATCCCTGACCCAGTTATCTATGTTTTTAACAGCTTGTCAAACAGCTTTCATGTTCACCCCGTGAGTGTATACTTCTCAGTTTTGGCAGCTGTGCAGGGCTGAGCATAGGATGTGGTACTGGAGAGGAGATAGGAGCTGTCTTTTGCTTACAGTAATGCATCCAACCAGGGGATATATGGGCTCATCTCCAGTCCCTGTTTAGATGGGACCTCAGTTGCTTCCTTTTGGTAGTCATCCATCAGTGAGGAAGTCCAGCGGGAGAGAGGGTAGAGATGATTCTTCTTCAGGGAGCTCTGGATTAAAGTGGGAGCCCTGCAGGTGCTGCTGGCCTAGGATGTCTTGTAAGGAGGCCTGTGGCCCTACACTAATGATAGTTGGAAAACTCTGTAGGAGTTTCCAAAGACTCGGGCCTTATATCCTAGTGTTGGGGTTTTGTATCTTTCTCATATCGACTAGAGAAGGTGGTGGTTATAGTGGGGGGCCTGTGAGAGGACTTTAAAGCAGCGCTTGGATGTCTTGAGTGGATACCTTTGGATACCTTTACCTTCAGCGGCATGGGGCTACTTGCAAGGTATACTTCCTGCTTTCCTCTTCAGGGTCCTTCCCTTTCTGAGTTTCCATTCTGCCAAGTTTAGTTCTTCTTTTTTTTTTTGGTACTGGGGATTGAACTTAGGACCTTGATGCTTGCAAGGCAGGCAACAGAACCACTGAGCTAAATTCCCAGCCCCCAAGTTTAGTTCTTGAGACCCTTTCTTTCTTCCTTCCTCTCTCCCCCTCTGTCCTTCCTTCTGCTCCCTACCTCTTCATTTTCTTCCTTAAATCAAGTACCTTTTTGTTCACTCTACCCTTTTTCTTTCTGCTCAGTTTGCCTTTTGCTTTATTTTTAAATTTTTTGGTGCTGGGAATCGAACTCAGGTCCTTACACTTGTGGGGAAGGCAGCATTAGAACCATTGAGATAAATCCCTGGCCCTTTTTTTTTGGTGGGGGGTTAGGATCGGTCTTTTGCTTTAAAGCCATGGCCCAGTCTGTTCCCCTTGGAGCATATAAAGGCCAGGCTGAGTTGGCCTTGCTGTGACCCAGTGAGGTGGCTGGGGCCATGGGTTTGTTATGATGGTCTCATGATCAAAGGAAGTGATACCTCCCACCTTTTTGTTATCTGGGTCATTGATTCATTAGAAAAATAACCAAGTATAACTTGGTTATTATACAAGTAAAAAAGTAAAACCTATCTTTTTTTTTTTTTTTCGGTTTTTTGAGACAGGGTCTCACTATGTAGTTCAGACTGCCCTGGAACTCACTGTATAGCCCAGGTTGGTCTTGAACTCACAGCAATTCTCCTGCCTCAGTCTCCTGAGTGCTGGGATTTCAGGTGTGTGCCACCATGCCCGGCAAACCTATCTTTTTTAAAAGAATGAAGAATATGACAGGAAATGAAAAACTAAGTAATAATATTAAATGTATTCTAATTCTACATTATGGAAGGTGGAGGGAAGAAGAGGGGAAGGAAAATAAGGATAAGAAGGTTGAGCATACTAAACACTGGTTAGCAACACTCTTATTAGTGCAGATTTTTTTGTTTCTGTTTTTGAGACAAGGTCTCACTGTGTAGTTCAGGCTGGCCTTGAATTCGCTGTATAGTCCAGACTGGATTCAGATTTGCCGTGATCCTGCCTCAGCCTTCTGAGTGCTGGAATTACAGTCATGCACTGCCACACCCAGCATAGTACAGATTTTTAAATGAAACTTTTTAGATGTGAATAAAATGAAACAGTGAGTTTGGTATGAAAAACATTTTACTTCCTGTATAAAAACCAAAAATATGAGAATTTGAAAAAATGTCTCCCCCCATTATTAGTGATCAACACTCTGCAGTTGCTTTGAATAGTTAGGGTAGGAGCCTGCCTTTTGTGGAGGAAAGTGGCTAGTTTGGTTGAGAAACATCGTTAGGACTTGAAGTGTTACTTCTGATGGCTTTTAAAGCCTTGTGTTTTGCAGGTAGGGCCATGGCCTGAAGACCATGACCTGGTATTTGTTAATTGTTCATGAAAATGAGAATTGGAAGCTCTTTGTCCCTACTGGCTCGGGCAGCTGCTTTCTGATCTCACCTGCCAGGGCAGAGTTACCTGGCATGTTGAGCTGACTCCTGCTGGCTTCCCTGCAACCTTGGTGCCCCCGAGTGCCTCTCTGGGTAGTTAGTGGCCATTAGGTCCTTCTCCTCTGTCCTGTCTGGGACTGGACCTTACTTGAGAAAGTGATTTGGGGGTTGCTCATGATCTTTGACACAGAATGACACTAACATGTGACTGGTGGTTGCCTTGGATTTGCAGTGCTGGCCAGAAGAGCTGTTCAGGAGTACATCATCACAGCCATCAAAGAGGTGCTGAAAGTGCACTTCAGGAGAGCTGTGGAGCTGCAGGTGAGTCCCTCAGCGGGCGGTGGCCAGGTGTAGTGTAAGTCTGTTGGCAGGGTGGAGGGGAGTGGGTGGACAGAGTTGGAGCAAAGGGCTGTTGGACCAGAGACATCAGTTTTGGGTGTTGCCCATGACAGTTTTGCCTTCCTTGATTCAAATTAAAGGACTTGGATTTGAGTTTAAACTAGATTTTAGAGACATCTAAATCTACAAGTTGGATAGAGATGGATTTGCACATCATTTTTTTTTTTAATGTTTGAGCAGGGTCTCCCTATGTAGTTCAGGCTGGCCTTGAACTCATTTTGTGGGGCAGGCTGGCTTCAAGCTCACCCTCCTGCCTTTAGCCTCCCAAGTGCTGGGATTGTAGGCATGCACCACCATGCATGTGCCACCATACCCAGCCTGCACGTCTTTTATATGAACCCTGTGATGGTGGTCCTCTCCCAGATGGGCTCAGGGAGCTATGCTTATCTGGACCTGCACTGTCCCTAAACAGAGCCGTGCGCCCCAGTGGCTGTGGGGCACATGAAATTGGGCTCGGCTGAATTGAGATGTGCTGCCAGTGTAAAATACATACTAGATTTTTTTGTTTTGTTTTGTTTTATTTTTTTTGAGACAGGGTCTCATTGTGTAGTTGAGACTGACTTGGAACTCACTATGTAGCCCAGGCTGGTCTTGCACTCAGTGATCCTCCTGCCTCAGCCTCCCGAGTGCTGGGATTACAGGCGTGTACCACCACATCTGGCACTAGATTTTTCAAATGCATGAAAAATGTAAAATATTTCACCCATACTTTTTGTATTGACTACAAGTTGAATGGTGTTTCAGATACACTTATGTATGTGAGGTTAATTTTACCTATTCATAGTTTTTTAATGTGGCTGGTAAAAATTTGAAAATTACATACATAAGTGGCTCCTATTATATTTATTTTGGGTGGTGATGCCCAGGAGAGTAAGTGCTTCTTTCTGTGTGGGTTAAACACAGCAGCTACCTGAATTCTCCACGAGTCATTGTTCAATTCATATTACCAGCATCTCTTTCTTGCTGTTTTTGTGACTTTGTGCTGATTTTGAGAAGGTTGGAAGAATATGAAAAGAATGGCTCAAATAAATTGTTGATTTTATATGAAGCAGTACTTTTTCATTTAAACTACTGATACATATTTAAACTTAACTAACTATTCTTCTCTCCTGCGCAACTTCAAGTTTGAATCATCTTTTGTACATTTTATTTTCCTAGGTTTATGAACTGTTCACTGACTTCACTTTTCTGGTAACATCCGGTCCTTTTGTTTACACGGCAATATCAGTCATTAATGTCCTCATCAATAGTAAACTCGTGCGGGACCAAACTCCTCTAATCCTGTCTGTGAAGCCTTCATTCCTGGTGCCTGAGTCCAAGTTCCAAGTTCAAACAGGTGAGAACTGAGCATAGCGGTTGTGATCTGTAATATATATAT